GACACCGCCATACAGTTGCCTGTCATTGACATTTCAGAATTCGGGCTCGAGGTTGGGAAGCGGGTATTGGAGGCTGCGACCAGGTTTGGCTTCCTCTACATCGATACAAATGGCACAGGCTTCGCGGAGAGTATGGTGGATCGGGAATTCGAATTGTCTCGCCAGTTTTTTGCCCTTCCTGAAGCAGAAAAGGAGCATTATCGAATCGACAAGACGGATCGAGGCTGGGCCGGATTGCACGGTGAAAACCTCGACCCCAAGACACAGCGCAAAGGGGACTTTAAAGAAGCTTTGAATATTGGAGAGTTCCTGAATGGAAAGCCGCAACAGCCTCTACCCAAGTTGCTGGAGAGCCATGTTGACGAGTTGGCCGAGTTCGAGAGGGCGTGCAAACAGGTCTGCGATCGAGTGCTTGACCTTCTTGGGTTGGCACTCGAGGTTGAAGAGCGCAGTTTCTTTTCATCACGGCATACCCAACCCAGCGGGTGCACCGTCCGCCTCCTGCACTACCCTGCCATCCCTGCCGATGTGGACTATCAACCAGAAATCGATCTCAGAGCTGGCGCTCACTCCGACTACGGAAGCATCACCTTGCTGTTCCAGCGACCCTCACAACCAGGTCTCCAGATCCGAACCCCGGGGGACACCTGGGCAACTGTTCCCATTATCCCCAGCGGATATCACTCCAAGACATTCCCGCCGATCCTCGTCAACATTGGCGATTTGCTGTCATACTGGACCAACGGAATCTTGAAGAGCACGGTACACCGAGTCATCTTTCCCAAAGAGGAAAGAAGAGGGGGCGAGGACCGGTACTCGATAGCATATTTCTCCCACCCAGGGAATGATGTGGAATTGACACCTATCCCGAGTAAACTGGTAGCACGGCACAAGCTGGACGAAGACAAGGAGGTGGGATATGGAGGCGGCGCGACCAGCAAACGAGCTATGACGGCCAAAGATCATCTATTGTCCCGGCTGGATGCAACCTATGGATTCAGGGGAGCACATGACAGGGAAGTAGAGAGCGCTCGCTGAATAATGGGGAGGAGAAGCCGTCGCTTTCACTTCCAGCAAACACCAGACTTGTTGTAGATGGTATAGTACAGCCTTGCGAATGCGATTCCGAGTATTACGAGTACTTTTAACCGAGTCTACGAGACGAGTACGACTTGTGCGCCTCATCTGAAGATGGGGCTGAGTAGGCGGAGAAAGAGACACAGCGGGCACCAGTCGGGTTCCCTCCCTGGTCAAACCACAGTCTTAATATTATTTGTCCAAGTCCCGGGAGCTCAAGGTCCATTGTACTCGTCGCGCTTGTCTGGACCCGAGTGGTTGTTAGCGCCCGCAGTTTGCATCCTCAAAAGTTACAACGTTGACCTTTCGAAAGGTCCACGCTCGTGAAAGCGCAGACAAATCCATCTGCTCTTCCGCCGACTTGCTTCAGACAACAAAAGGGATTTTTGTCTTCAGCTGTTTGATTTATTCACTCACTCATTCACTCCTTCTTTTCAGCGGTCGCTTTTGTGTTCTTGGACTGCTGATTCTCGCCTGCGTTGAAACTTGTTCTTCCTTTTCCTTTTCTTGCCAGTGGCCTAGCATGTCAGGTATTGGAACCCCCTTCGTAACCCTGTGCACATTGCTCTTCTCACCTTGTAACCAGTCCAGAAGTTCGACCAGTGGGCAAGCAGGCATGTCGAACTCTGCCAGCTGCAAATGCTGCGGGACGCCGTCATCGGTGTCGATGCCTCATACTACATGAACCTCCGCCTCAACGGCAACAACGAAGAGCCTCTCAAGCATGCCCTCGGGGGCCAGCCATTTGTCTTCAAAAAAGCCGTCGAGGATGACATCGCCTTCCTGCGACAGAATGGCATCACATTGGTGTTCGTCTTCAACGGCCTCGACTACGTGAACAAAAGCCTCCCCGACTCGCAGTTGGCGGATAGCCGAAGAGTACAAGATGAAGCGTGGCATCACTATATGAATGGAGATAGTAAGCGCACGGTGACAGACTTTGGAAAGGCAAAATACCCCGTCGACATCATGACCCGGACGCTTCAGAAACTGTTGTTTGATAACAATGTTCAATACATGGTCGCTCCATACAGTGCCACTGCGCAGGTGAGTCGACACACGGGAAATCTGATGGAAAGTGTTTGAGACTGAATCGGGCATCAGTTGTCTTATCTTTTGAAATTGGAAGATCAATACATTGATGCTGTCATGGGCAGCACCGAGTGCTTTCTCTTTGGGGTGGACAGGGTGGTGACGGATTTCAATCTCAACGACTCGACATTGAGCTTGGTCAGCCGCGCGGCGTGCGAGGATATACTGAAAGCCCACAAGGACGTGCTTCGAGACGCCCAACTCTTGCTTGGAACCTCCTTTACTCCGACCTTCCCGATCCTAGAAAGCATGGCCGCGGCGAAGCCGACGGGCATTGTGGACGCCATCACCCTCCTTAACGGGGCCGGCAAAAGTGTCATGCAGCTTTGCAACTACCATCGAGACAACCCTCAAGCCCAGAGCATGGAGTATGCCGACCGTTACAAGAAGGCGATCATGACCATCAGGCACCACGTGATAATGGAAAAGAACGGTGTCGTTGCGCCCCTCAACTTTGACGAGGCACCCGGCGATGTCCACGAATTTGTTGGACAGAGACTACCCGAGGAGTTGTTCTTCTACGTCTCCAAGGGCATGCTCGGCCCGCAGGTACCAAACTGGCTCACGTCTGGAGAAATCGCCCTTTCGCTTCCTGGGGGAGTCTTCGATTCGGAGCCTTATCGAAAATTGGTGATAGAATTCCTCAACCCGTACCGAACCGAAGCGCTCAAAATCCTGGCAGAGTCGCTCCACTACTACTACCAGTCGCGGGTCATCAAGGTCAACCCCTGGGTTTCCCAGAATACAAGCAACTTGACAATCGAGATACGCAACACTCCAGCCATGAAACCAAAGTTGGTCCAGTGGAGAGTCCGAGGGGCCAACATTGAATCTGTGATTGGCAAAGGCGAGGTAGGTGTCAAGACCTTGCAGCCATGCATCCTCTGACGTTGAACAGAATATTGGTCTATTTCTACCTTGTCTGCGATCTCTCAAAGACGTTACATTTGCCAAGAAGACCATTACCTTTGGCAAGTTGGAACACCCAGCTCTTCGAACTGCTGATGAGGTAGCCGTCAACACAGTCTTCCGGTACTTACAAGTTCGTGGCTACGTCGATGATCACCACAACGTGACCACCTGGGGCAAGGCTCTGGAAACAGCGTTGACGATCGCCGACGAGGAGTGTACCATCATTGGCGTGGAGATGCTGAGACTTGGGCTGTTCACTGGCAATTTCGCTTCAGGAGACCCGGTAGCAAAGACTGGTTGGTTCGACCATTCTCTTTCTTCCGAAGGCTGCTAACTCTCGCCTAGACAAAGATCACGACCGGAAAGTCAATACAAACCTCATTTCCAAGGTTGCGTGCTTGGGTAGAATCCGGCACAAGCCCATGGGATTTGTCGGACCTCTCGATCGGCAGCTGTTAACATATGCTTGGAAGATCTCGGCAGTCCGCACAACCCTTAGAGATCTCTTGGAAACAATCATGACGAGCATGTTTTTGAATGGTGACGTGGATCGGGACCGTGAAGACTGGATTGCTCTTGCTCAAAGGTGTGTTCATGTACTACGCGATCTCTGCGATGTGCCCGACTAATTCGACTCCATAGGCTCCCATTTTCCAGCGACAATGGCTCCGGGCTTGCAATCGCGGTCAAGACGTACCTGGACGCCGTCAGCGAAGAACCCGAGCCAACCGACGCACTCAAAACCAGCATTAAGCAGCAAGAAGGGAAGTACAATTGGTTCGCACAACTTCGCGGCAGTGGTTACTTGACTAAGAGTCTCGATCAAGCCTGGAAGATATGGGATGCGGTGAGTTCAGTTGGAATTGCTGGCTAGAATCACTCGTGCTAACTACCGGTAGATTTATGCTGCAAGTCAAGTACCAGGCACAGACGTTAAGGAGGCCAAGCTCTTCTCTGAGGCGAACGAATGGCTTGCCCCCCGACGATGAGCTGGTTTGTTAGGCGAAGAAGCAGAATCATAAGATTTACTCCGTGGAGCAGTATATCATAAAATTTTACTCGCACGGTACGCTATCTTCTTGAGCAAGGACTTGTGACGCCGCAACGACAGCTACTGAGCTAGACCGCGCCGCCGTTGTGAGCTGGAAGCAATCTCTGGCATCAGATACCGTCCTCGACTCGTGCGCGTCTGGGTCTCTTCACGAGAGGTGCGCTCAGCAGCCACGGTGGGGTCACAAAGTCTTATCTCTCGGCGCCGCTGGCTTGCGACGAAGGCGTACACGGCTTGAGCAAAAGGGGCGGCAGTTGAGGGGAGAAAGGGTCATTGGCATCCCCTAGTCTGAAGGAAGAAATAGACTGTAAGATCCCAGTTGCAAGGGCAGCAGCCGAGCTCATCGAGATACTGTCTCTCTCCCTTGCGCGCGCGCACTGCGTTATTGGGAACGATCAAGTTGCTTTTACCAAGTAAAAGTACATTGGATTTAGATGCATGGATGGAACAAAGTTGGGAGTGGAGGTGCTGGTGGTTGGTGGCAGACGACTTGCGTCGCCTGCGCTTCAAGCCCTGCCTGCGCTGAAACGGCCGGAAATGCCCGCTTATACCTTAAGAGGCATGCCCTTCCGCCCCTCGTGGCGCTCGTGGCGCTGGTGCCGCTTCCTGCGCAATGACATACTTGGACCAGTCTTTACCTTATCCCACCCCTATCTATCCTTTGACTTTGAGCTCTCAGCCACTTATCGTTCAGATGTTTGGGCAAAGAAAACCCAGAAAAAATATCCATCCCATCATTACTACTCGCACGGCACTCTCGTTCAGAAAAACCCCCCACGAGCCGGGGCGCCAGGGCCGCGTGCCGGTGCCCTTACCTAAGTGAAATTTCCTTCTCATAAGCAATGTTGGGCGCGAAGGGGGCTACAGTATGCCTGTCCGTCTCCCTCCATCTCAGTCCTCAGCAGAAGAGCCCATTGAGATGGAGGACAATGGCATTTCGGGGAATTCCTCGAGGCAGAGACTCCTCCAACCTCGAGCACGCGATGCCCGTGGACGGCTCACCGGATTGGCCTCTCACACCTTGGGCCTGATTCTTCTGCTTGTCGTCGTCTTCCTATGGACCATGTCCAATTTTCTCGGTAGTGTATGTATGGCATGCATGGGTGTTGTGCGGTCCTTGGGTTTTAGGAGAATAGTGCTAATCGCATGCAACATCCACAGAGTATATTCGCTGACAACACTTATGCCAAACCCTTCTTTCTGACTTATCTCAATACTTCGACCTTCATGCTGGGCATGATTCCTACACTCCTCCAGATCGCATATAGACGGCATCGGAACCATGGTGATTTGTACGATATGATTCGCACGAGCGTGTTGCAGACAGTCAAGAGAACAGGCTATCGACGACTGTCGATCATTGACGGTACACAAGGTGATGAAGACGGGCAGGACTTTGAGTCCGAGACATTCATTCAGAAACCCAGCAGGAATGGTTCCAGCGCGGACATCGGCCGTCCGGGGCATGACGGTGTGGAAGAAGGGGATAAACATCTGGGAATCATGCCGACGGCCAGGCTGGCCTTTGCCTTTTGCATCCTCTGGTTCAGCGCCAACTACTTTGCTATGGCTTGTTTGAAGTACACCACGGTGGCATCCACCACTATTCTGACCTCAACCTCGAGTTTCTGGACGCTCTTCATCGGCGCCTTGACAGGGACGGAGAAGTTCACCTGGCGGAAACTCTGTGGCGTCCTGGCATCGTTTGCAGGGATCATGCTGATCTCGAGCGTGGACTTTTCAGGCAACGCGGACGGTGCATCTCCCGATTCACCGCCAGCGGGGGAGAGAGCGATCCTCAGACGCGAGGACACGTTCCCGGACAAGTCGCCCTCTGAACTCGCCCTGGGGGACGCCTTTGCATTGTTGTCCGCCATCATCTACGGCGTCTACACCGTCACCCTGAAGAAGACGACGCTGAAGGCGCTGCCGCGATCTCTCAATATGCCCCTTTTCTTCGGCCTGGTCGGCACGTGCAACTTGATCCTCCTCTTCCCGCTTTTCCCCATTTTGCATTTCACGGGCCTCGAGCCCTTCGCCTTCCCTCCCTCCAGGAGAATCTGGACGATCCTGCTCATCAACAGCTGCGCGAGTTTCTTTTCGGACCTCTGCTGGGCGTATGCCATGGTATTGACCTCTCCACTTCTGGTGACGGTGGGGCTGAGCCTCACAATCCCTCTTTCTCTGGTCGGCGAAATGGTCCTCCAGGGCCATTATGAGGGCTGGGTATACTGGGTCGGTGCGGGGGTTGTGGTCGGCAGCTTCTTGTTCATTGACCAGCAGGAGAAGAAGGAGGAGGTCTCGCACGGCGGCTCTAGCCGTGGCATCGAGGCCCTGCGCGAGGAATACGACGAGAATGATGACGGTGCTGCCGCCACTTCTACTGCTGGTGGTGCTGGTGAGGTATTCTCCAGCACGGCAGGAAACAGCTATGGCGTTGATGGGCACGGCTACGGGCATAGACACGGGTCCTGACTTCCTGGGTACCTAGACTTTGGGCGGCTGAGATTGGATATATACTCCGTGTTCAAGTAACCGCCATGTATACCATCTACAAACATACAGTACCTACCAAACCTCAGACCTCGGATAGAAACCATGAATGAACAAGACCATTCTTACATAACCCATGCAATAGTATTTTTCCATGTTGACGACCCGTGGTATGTGTGTACGTATGTAGCACCGGCCGAGCTCAGCGTTGGTCGGCTCGTGGTGCCAGGCCAGACCATCTGAGTCGCCTCCGTCTCCGTCTTCGTCTCGGCCGGGCGACGAGAAGAGTTGTCCAGAAGCGGCAAAGGGACAAAGCAGAGAGAGCTCGAGAACTTGGATGAATTCCATTATTTGACCTTCAAACTACCGAGTAAGACTGACAAGTATGGTAAGACGGCAGAATGCCGAAGGGGTGATGGGACTAGATAAGTACTGAAGACCATGGAGGTGGCTGAGGAAGTAAAAGATCAGGATGGGTGGGTACAGAGACCCGATGCCGTTAAATAATTCAGACAACAAAGACGATGGTCACGCCTGAAGGGTTCGACATTAAGGGAGAGGTCATTGCAGTCATCACCGGGCAAACGCAGCCAGAGCGACATCTCCGTGCTGTCCATCCACTGCAGATGACAGAAGACAACGGTGTGAATTTGCTCGTGGTCCATTCTTTGGCTTCTGAAGGTCGTTGAAAAGCCCGCAGCATGGTGTTGAACATGACTCCATCATTCAAGACCCAGTTCCTTCATAGTCGGCCTCCCGTCTCTCCATGGCCTCGGCTGGCCTTCACCAGGCATTTCGACCCCATTCGGTAACTGCACCTTGGGAAATCCGTCTCTCTTCCATACGTAGACCTCGTCGGGATCCAGGCTCTCAAACGCACCTGGCATTGAACGTGTCTTGTCTTCGTCGCTTTCCTGCCTTGACACGACCCATTTGCTGCGCACCTCGTGGGCTCTATCCTCGTCGACCAGAACCAGAGCACCGCTGTGCCAGCCCGCAGCTGCGATAGCGATTGGGAAGTATGACCCGAGATTGGCATAGTCCTCTGTGGTCTGGCTCTTGCCTGGCTGAGCATCTGAGTCTGTGGGTACATTACTCGCCGGTCCTTCTTCCCAATGCCTCCCTTCCTGCTCGACCCATTCACTGAATGCAGCTTGTTTTACCGCATCAACGTCCCAGATATGACGGGCTAGCTGGCCGTTCACAGCGAAATGTGGTTGACTTAGCTGGTCTTCCATCCATTGCAGCCAATCCTTCCGTTCAGGCTCAAACCAGATTTGACGGCCGCGGATATTGGCAATGGGAAGTAACACAGCATCACTTCGTAGGCCAGGTCTTTCTCGGCGCAGGCCACGAAATCGACCGCCATGTTCCGGACCAGAAAGGCCTAGCGAACCACAGCTTTGGGAGTCCGTACCGTACGAAGTGATTTTGCCGTTAGCGTGCAGGGCGTGGTAATGGTAGTCGCCATATGCAAGTGATATAACGCCTGTATGCTGCATGGCAGGTATGTCCTGAGGTCTGGAGGCAATCAGTGTGGTCACGGTAGACGAATCCTCTGAGGATAGCAAGTCGGGGTGATATCGAACGGTTTCAGCACAACGTCTGATATAGTCTATGTCACCAGCAAGTACTTCGCCTGCTGCTGTGAAAACACCAAACCTGTGGAACTGACCCTGAATATCTTTCAATTCACGACCTGGTGCGTCGAAGCCCGGGAGCTCGAATGGAGGATGACTTGGTCCAGGCTGATCAGGGTTATCGACGTGGACAGCACATGCGTAGGCCTTGGACTCGTTCGTGATCCATACGATGTAATTCTCAAGAACGATGTGTTTGAGTACTTCCACGTCTCCTGTCTCGGCTCTTCGCTTCGCAGTTCCTGGAATAATCCTCTCTTTGACCTCCTTCCCATCCAGCATCTCGTCCACTTGGTCATTTTGAATGGGAGTCCAATAGACAATACCTATATTCGGCACATAGGCAGAGCTCTCTGCCCAACCTGCAGCGACTCTGGTAGGTCGTCCGCCGAAGTCTGTCCCAATCCGCGAGAAGACCATGAGGCCTTTGGCATTGATTCTGTCCCAGGAGAGTATTTTTCCTTCGTCAGTGAGTGCCAGGATATGACGACGACCTGAAGAAAACTGTCGGACGGCGGAGGTGCTCTGAGTTAGATATTCGAGCTGGCGGAAGTGGTCGGAAGATTCGCCTACCACCCTGCCGTCCATAGAATCGATTGAGCCGGTGGTGTATAGCTTACCGTCCGAGGACAGAATGGTAGTGGACCAGCCTCCACACTGAAGATCAGCTATCACTCCTACGTCGTCGGGGATGTGAACTTCTGTGGGCCAGGTGGAGGAGGCTCGCTGGAACGGTCGTGAATGGATCATGGTTGGGAGAGGACGATGTGGGACGCGTGGAAGGGCCCTCTGGGGAATATGATGTGGACCATGAGGCAGTGGTCGACGAGGCACTGGGAGAGTTCTTCCAGGTCCCAAGCTCCCTTTCAATCCTTGACCCCAAGTGTAAAGGCGAGTTTGGGTCTTGAGTCGTTTGTACAGCCAGTACCAGCGAGGCCCATCGGCCGCGAGAAGGGGACTGATCGGGAGACGGAATGTGTTCGAGGCTTCATGTCTCCAGTACACGGAATCTTGTCGATATTTCAAGTATACGGCCTTGGATGCACGGCAGAATGCGAGGTAGTCCTGTGGATCAAGGTGGGTTAAGATGGAGGGAATCACATCGTCTGGCAGCTGGAGGAGTGGCATTTCTGCTAGATCTGAGCATCGTCTTCCTCTAAAGACCGTAGGAGAATCAACAGAGAAAAGTGCATGAACAGCGTTTACTAGCGTCGATGCGGTTGATACAATGGTAGACGAGCAGGCAAACACAATTCACCATCACACCAGCTGGCTGACGGCGGGCCACCAGAGGCCAGATCAGGGGATGATGTCATTAAGGGGTCACTGGCTGGTGCTGGGGGGTTGTCTGGTTGTCTTGGCGTCGGGCTCTGCAGGGCCCCAAGTGTCTGGATGTTAAATCATGGGTTCTCAGTAGATGTTTGATATTTTAGTGTGGGGTGCCAACAAACACCTGCAATCGCCTCAATCTGCAGACGTCTATCCTTCAATTCGCGTTCGCTCTTGTCGATTGCTCTCTGATTTAAAATCTCGTTTCGTCGTTCGCATACCTCGCAATCATGGCCGACTCGGGTGATGCCAAACCAACTCCCTCGGCGGATCAGACTGCGTCGTCCGACTTGAGACCTGCTGAACAAGAGACTAATCTCGTGACGAATCCCCTGGGTGATCCTTCGTCCGAAGCCCCTGCTCAAGAGACCAAGTCTACCACCTACACCGACACTGCTGCCAAAGCCGCCAGTACTGCCGCGAGCACTGCCACCGCAGCGGCGACTGGCGTCAAGGACTCTGTCTTTTCCATGTTTGGTGGTGGAGCCAAGAAAGAGCGCAAGGTCGAAGAGGATGATAATGCAAAGGATGAACCCAGCGGTAGTTCCAAAGCGCAGAAGAAGGAGGATGAAGACGATGTGAGATATACTCAACCCATCCAAGGGGGAAGACCTGGGCTGACGTTGTTGATATGACAGGACAAAGCCGAAGAGGAGGAGGCAGACGTGGAATTCGAACCCGTGGTCCGACTGACCGAGAAAGTCGAGACAAAGACCAATGAGGAAATGGAGGAACAGGTCTTCAAGATGCGTGCCAAACTTTTCAAGTTCGACCGCGAGCCGAAGGAGTGGAAGGAGAGAGGCACTGGCGATGTTCGGCTGCTCAAGCACAAGGAGAACGGAAAGACGCGATTGGTGATGCGCCGAGACAAGACTCTCAAGGTTTGCGCAAACCACTATGGTAAGTCTTCGTCTGTCTGCAGTGCTCGCCGTCGAATGGCTCGTGGCTAATCTCTACATCTAGTCACCCCTGATATGAAGCTTTCACCAAATGTGGGTAGCGATCGAAGCTGGGTTTGGAATGTTGCAGCAGATGTCAGCGAAGGCGAGCCAGAAGCGCAGACCCTTGCTATCCGGTTCGGAAACAGTGAGAGTATGACATTGCCTTTACATCTCCCATTGCCCGCGTGCTAACCCGCCACAGATGCCAATCTCTTCAAGGAAGCATTCATCAAGGCCCAGCAGGACAACGAGTCTCTGTTCCAAAAGTCATGATGTATCCGATAGCGAGTGGGGGTTGTGTGATGATTGATCCAGCAAGGAATCTACAGCTGCCGACCAGCAGAGCAATTGCAGAGCAACTGCAGAGCAACGCATATGAAAGAGATGTGATTCATGGTTTACCATAGGCTCTGAAACTCTCATATCACCTGACCTTAGATAGAGACGCTGTCTGCCCAACGGCTAGCCTTGGCAAGAATGAATGGAGTTGTGAAGAAGACCATCCCACAACGCCTTTTGTCACTCTATCTTAACCCGAAATTCGTAACTGATCACCCCAGTTCATTTTGGCGCTAATCCTCGGCTAAGTTGCCATTCATGACGTATATATAAAGACAGCCCACCTCATCCCTGGAGATCCACTCAACCTTCTTCGTGAACGGCAAAGCATCTTCCCACGAAGTGCGACAACCAAGTTGGCAACCCCTGTTTACCTTTTCTCTGGTTAACGTCCTGCGTCAGACTGAGCGTGGCCTCTACTGACATTCCGACATCTCTTGAATCGGTCACCCTGACACTGTCGCTCACCACATCTTCAAGTTCCCCTCCTCTCACCTGGTCCTCAGCAGCCACGACGCAGACGATCTACAAACCCCACCAACTCGCCGTCATTTTGACTTCAACTAAACACAGCTCTCCATCATGCCGGACGTAAGTCGCAGTGTCGCATTCGCTTCAACATACAGCGCGACTGACAGTCTTTATAGGTTAAACGTAGTGTCAAAATTGTGACGGAGCAAAAGATCATGTAAGTTGACTCCTGAACTCGCGCCTCACCCCGCGTTCATCTCCT